AGACTCAACTATTGAGTTACCGATTAATGGTTCCAGACGACTTGAGCCTGTCCGTTCAAATACTTCTAATGTCGGCGCTGAAGACACTGTTCAGTCACCTTGTTCTCTTATTTTCTCTATTTTGCCCCCCACATCTGGGCAAGGCAATTTACACAATAACCCTACCACTGCTATAGGTAGCTCCAAAACTACTAGCGCCGTCATGATAGGCTCCAACGTCGGGATTGGATTGGGCGTTGGATCTATGATCGCCGCATCATCCTGTAAACTAGAGGGTGCTGCTGGCCAAATAGTTTCTGGTGTGAAAATCGCCTCATCACCAACGATAGCCACCAATGTTGGTCAAATGGCGTTTATACCACCACAAAATGCCATGGCAACTGCTGTTAGCCTCGCGACACCTAGGTAGGCATAACTGCAAATATTTTCTTAGTCTTTACTTGTTCAATAGGCCTCAAAGCCAGGTTTTACTTTTCTTGTTAGACGGCTTAGAGATGAGATTGACGTCTTATCAATTGGTCAATGACACGTAAACACATGATTGGATGAGTTGGTACCCTCAATTGTACTCGTTTTTGGATTTGTGAATCTATTCATTAAAATCCATAAAAAAAGCTCTTTTCTGACTTAAGTTTCGTGTAAGAGCACTACATTTTCTCAATTATTAGCATATATTTTCAAATCCATTGTATAAGAAAACGCTTTTTACTCCATTCCTCAAAAGCGAATTTATGCTTACACATTTTATATTTAAGATTGATGAAACAGGTTGTTTTCCATCTTATTACTTGTTACAAAAATGAAATTCTTAGGTTTTAGATGGGGTGACTTTAGATCTGGTAGCAGTCTTCTTTAGCGGTATAATTTAGGTTTGAGCCTGGTTAGAATGTCAACGAGACCTTGTAGAATGTACCTACTCCTGCGTCCTCTGCGGTAGTATTCGGGATAATTTTCAGCATCGGATCGTTGACTTGCTACATGCATAGACATTTAGTTGGATTAACAGATGCGCCATCTTTAGCAGAGTCTCAACTCATTGCTTGCAACTGATAATTAGTAACTCTGTGCTAGAGATGGCATACTGCCTCTCCCGGCGAATTTAAAACATTAAAAGGCCAGGTATATAACTTACTGTGTTTTTGCCACTCTTATGTCTTCTTCCAGCAGCTAACCATGTACTTTGTACATTTACAGACGTTTCGCCAGCATTGTTGTCGGAAGCGACTGGAAATGGCATGATTCTTGTGATCGAGCTAAAACGCATTAAAGTGAATAGTGAAGTCGTTTGCTTGAACATCTACAGCATTTATTTTCCTCTCTAACCCCTTAACTAGTGGGGTATATCATTTTCGTCTGGATCATTATTCGGAATGATAATGTTTTAACAATTTATTAAAGATAGCTTTTGATTTTTTTCACTCAATTTTACTTTGCAATCGTTTAGTCAAAGATAGGAATACCAGGATGATGTGACCTTTTCCATGGGCGCAGTCTCATTTCGTTGTATAGAATTGCTTACCTTGTTTCCGCAATTTGGTCATAATGTCAGGAAGAGGAACTTACCTCTCCCGGATTCCATAGTATGCATGATAATTTCCAGATTCGGACCGTGAACCTGGTATATTACCAAACGTTTTCTCGCCATCGTAGTCGGCATCGTCGGCTCCAACGGAATACTCATAAGGAGACTATTTAGAAAGAAATCATATGCGGGAATAATCCTCAATTTCTAGTCTCTTTATACCTACGGACTGAAGATCGAAATACTGAGGAGTATGATAATCAGAAGCTTAAGACTAACGGACAATGAGTTCTGGAACGAGGAGTTAGAGAAGCTGACTCGGATTTGCCTTAGTAACAGGTACCCCAGAGAATTTATAGAAATAAATATAGCGGTTATAAAGAACAGATTTCAACTAGGATTTTATGAAATTAAGATAAAAAATCGGAAGGACTACAAAAATTGGATATGCCTGCCTTCCTGTGAACTGAGCAATAAATTGCGACCGTTGCTAAGACAATGGAATATCAAAGTGATAACGTAAGAAAAGACAACACTCTTCATAAGCCTGCCGACGCAACACAAGAGGGTTGATAAACTGGATTGCTCAAGAGTATGGCATCAAATGCGACAACTGTGAGCAGAAGTATATTGGTAAAACAGGAAGAAAAGTTAGACTACGAATCATACAACACTGAAGATTCTGCAGAAAAATTGGAAGATCCGAAATGGCAGTACACATCGCATGAACGGGACACGAAATCGAGAGGAAATCGACAGAAAGGCTGGTTGCATATAGTGGAAATACAAGAAAACAGAATATAGGAGAAGCCATTGATATCGTGACTAAAAGAAATCCTATGAACAGGATATTTGAAGAACGAGGGCTGGTGAAAACGTTGCATGCTGCCTAAACAAACTCAAAGAAGATGAGGGAACAGCAATATCAGCAAAAAGAAGATGACTGGACAAAGGTAATACTTTTAATCGAAGATATGAAGACCAAGATGGTGTGGCCTTTTGCGTAGTCGCAGTCTCCTTTCGTTGTATAGAAGTTGTTTGACCTTGTTTTCGCAACTTGGTCATAATGGTAG